AAGGTGCTCATGTTCCTAGTGGTAAATATTCTTTTCAAATGCAGGAATGATTCCCAGCACCCAAATGGTGGCTAACAACCATCTGTAACTCCAGTTTCAGGGACTGCAACACCCTTTTCTGGCCTCCGCAGGCACTGCATGACATGGGTACACTTACACACATACAAACAACATACTCATACATATAAAAAATAAAAATAACGATAAAATATTTCTAAAATGTAAGAATGATGCTTGAGTGGCTCCCAACATCCTTTAAACCTAAAGCTGCAGGGTTTTTTTTTTAATATTTCATTTTTTTAAAATTTTATTTTATGTGTATCGTGCAATGCCCGCAGAGGACAGAAGAGGCCATCGGGTCTCCTGGAACTGGGGTTATGGACAGATGTTAGCTGCCATGTGGGTGCTGGGATTTGAAAACCGGGTCTTCTGCAAGAACAGTGTTCTATTTTAAAAAAAATAATTTATTGAGAACCCTGGAACTGGGGTTATGGACAGATGTTAGCTGCCATGTGGGTGCTGGGATTCGAAAACTGGGTCTTCTGCAAGAACAGTGTTCTATTTTTAAAAAATAATTTATTGAGAATTTCATATATACATATAAGGTGTTCTGATCAAATCCATGCCCACTTCCTCCCCTCCGACTCCTCCCATATCTCCCCATCACTTTTTTTCTGATACTTCATGTACTTTTTCTTCTTATTTGATTTATTATTTTTTATAGGGCTTTTGGCTACTTTAACATTCCCCCTTCTGAAGAGGTAACCCTAAAATCTTTTAAGGATTAGATAAAAGCTCCCAAATATTTTCGACATTAGGAGCCTTTGGAACAGAGCAGGTTGCTGAGGCCCAAGGACATTGTGGGAGGTAACCAAGAAACTGGCTACTTTTCTTTGGGGTCTTTTTTTTTTTTTCTTTTTCTTTTTTGGGGTCTTTTAACCCTAACTGCCTAGCCAATTCCGACCTCTTATTTCTTTTCTTTTTTTTTTTTTTTTTTTTTTTTTTTTTTTGTCTTTTTGAGACAGGGTCTCCCTGTAGCCCCTGCTGTCCTGGAACTCACGTATGTAGACCAGGCTGGCCTTGAACTCACAGAGATCCGCCTGCCCCTGCCTCTGCCTCCCGAGTGCTGGGATTAAAGGCATGCACCACCAGCCCGGCCTACCTCCTATTTTTATCACACCATCCTCTGAAGAACTTACCCAAATTGCCAACAGGGAATTGGGACACAGACTGATCCGGCTTCTTCCATACTGAACAGGGATGCAGGGTGAGGCAATTGGAGTGCCCCTTCAGTTCTTAACCACTGAGCCATCTCTCCAGCCCAAAGCTACAGTTCTTTAGGCTTTTCTCTTGACAAGTCCGAAAACCTTGACCCTGTCTAAAATCTGTTTTAGAAATTTTGTACTTTTTAAAGAATCCAGAGCAAAAAGGGAAGTCTTGGAATCTCACACAGATCCAAACGTGATGAAAACATCTTTTCTATTAGTGGTAAGCCTACTGCCTTGGGTGCCATAGATTTAGCAGAAGCAAAGCCTCAAGGCTTGTTCTGGGAATAACATATTCTTTAGAAACATGTTTTCAAGGTAGATTTCTCTGAAAGAGACAACAATGGAGAGAAAGTTGGCCGGCTGTCTTGCCCTGGCAATGCTGAGACAGAGGAACCTTCCAAATATTTTTTACTACAAAGCAGTGAGCACGCTCTGGCAATGTGATTGGACTCCTGTCAGAGAAGCTCAATGCAGTCTCAAAAGCCTGCAGAGAGTGGGCCTGGAGACCTGACTCAGAAGACCTGGGTTCGAATCCCAGCACCTATATGGTAGTTAACAACTGTCTGTAACTCCAGTTCCAAGGTATCTGACACCCTCTTCTGGCCTCAATAGGCACTACGTAGTACAGGTGCATTTCTCTACATGCAGGCATAATACTCATACACATAAAATAAAAATGAATAAATAAAATTTAAGTAAAATTAAATTAAAAACCAACAAAGAAAGACAGGTAAAGCACTTTAATATTAACAACTTCTTCACACAGACTGAAACTGTGAAAATCAGGGTGATCATGGTCATAGGAAACAGCCCTGCACAGAGATGGGGGCAGTCAGAGAGCATGGGCTAAGTCTTCAGGCCCTGGAGAACCATCACAAGACTTGTGGACAGGTGAGCAGATATGGTTGTTCCTTCTCTGAGCTGGATTTCTGCATCTGTTTTGCTGACTTTGATTCTGCTGCTCTTAGTCACTGTGGTGGTAACATGCCTAGCTAGCTCCCCAACTGCCCTGATGGGAGGCAGCCAAACAGAAAAGAAAAGAAAAACAAAAAACAAACAAACAAAAGAGATGCAGATTCTGTGGGAAATGTTCAAACTAAGAATAGAATCACTTACTCACATAGGGCAGCTCTTGTTTAACTTCAGCTGGTATTTTCATGTAGAAATGTGGTATCCCATATTTTCCTTGTCCATAAGAAGCTGGATATTTGCATTTTTTAAATGTAAAATCTCCCACATGTGAAAGGTAGAAATAAAAAGAAAAACTACTAATATTACAAAATGACTAAAGCAGTTAATTTTGTTAGTTTGCATTTTGCCACAATAAAAATATAATTTAAAAAAGGAAAAAACAAACAACAAAACCGTGTGAGTCAAATAAAAATTATCTATATTCTAGTTCATTTCTGGCTCCTATTTTCAGCCTGTGCCCCTGGTAGTGTGGCTGGGCTGCCCTTCCTGTTTCTCAATGGTTCTATAAAGCTCTTAATTCCTAGAGTCCAGCCCAGAGTGCCATACCCTGGAGTCTACCACAAGATGGTAAGTCGTGTTTCTGAAGCTCTGAGAGTATTCTGGCCCTGAATTTTGCCAAATTGTCAAGATAGCCTCTATTTCCTTTTGTTAGAATTTTCAAACCTGGTAATTAATCCAGATAGTACCAATGCACCACCACCTTCCAGGGCTCCTGGGTCTGCCTGTGGCTAGGTCTCCTCCCACTTAGTCCTGCAGCCCCAATTCTCTCTCTCTTGCTACATTTCAGGTCATGGAGCACGAAGTCTGTTCTCAGATGAAATAACTGCAATTGTGTTTCTCAGCTTTCTGTCATGGTTGGACACTATGCCAGATGCTTTATATGACTTAGCTGAATTTGTGGTTCTAATAACTAAAAATAAAATTTCACGAGAGATCTTGGATCAGAAGGACTATACTTCTCCTCCAATTTTGCACAGCCATTAAACTTAGGATGATAGGAGATTCAAACTCAAGTTGAAGTCTGTGTTTACTCCACTGTCCTACATGGGGCTGAGGACAGAAGAGGTATATGTATATGCTAGGTGACTCTATAGCTCCAGGCTACCCTTTGGCATTCCTTCTTAGTTTAAGAAAAAAGGTTTTACTTATTTTTATTTTTCACGTATATGAGTGTTTTGTGTGTGTGCTTGTGAGTACAGGTCCCAGCAGAGATGAGGCGTCAAACTTCCCTGGATCTTGATTTACAAGCAGTTGTGAACTTCCTGATGTGGGTGCTGGGAATCAAACTCAAGTCCTCTGCACAAACAGAGCCATCTCTCCAGCCCTCCTCCTCAGTTTTAATTTTTGAAGCTTCACAACATTATCACGTTTTAATTTTTTAATCTTCTGCATAAAGTTGTGTATGGATCCCAGGTTTGAGAACTTCATGGGCCATTTATAACTCAAAATATCTTTTAGAAGCCAGAGATTTCTCTTTTACAAAGTAAGAACATGTCTAAATCTATATAAACAGCATTAGTATTTCATTAAATGAAGAAGTATTTTGATTCAGAAATGGCTGCATAGGCACAGACACACACAGACAACACATACACACATATACACAAATTAGTAGCTCCATGGCACAGGAAGTGCTGACTGCCAGTGCCTTCATTCACAGCAAGTGCATGCATGCCCAGACTGACTGTGTGCTGCCTTAAAGTTTCCTGGAGAGACCATCGTTTGGGCCTTAAAAAATGTTAAGCCATAAAATAAAGCCAGACTATTACTTTCTAAAGAATAGCTAGATCCTAGAACAAAAAGTAGGTTTTTAATTAAGTAAATGAGCTTCCAGGAAGTTGAAAAAACGAATAAGTTCCTTAAATAACACAAAAACTCTTTCAGAGCTAAGACTAGAAATGAATGATTCCGATAGTCTTCAGTTCTTTGACTGTTACCCAGGACAATTAAATTATCAGATTATTTTAACAGCATTATTTGTGAAATGTGCTCTAGAGCAAATAGTTTTGGAAACTCACAATATTTATCATGTTTATCATGGAAAAATACCATCTGTGGCAAAATTGGTTGGTGCACACATAAGTATGAACACAGACATGTTTCCTATGCCCAGCCTGTCTCTCCCAACCATCATAGCAGGGAAACAATGTTATTCTCTCATCTTCCAAAAAGGGATATTTGCTTGAATTTGCATAGGAAAAGTCTAGAAAGCTGTGTGCTGTGTTTGCGCCCACATTGGCAGTCAACATGAGAATAAAACTGGATCACAGACATGTGACCAGGGAACAGCTGTCAGTGCCTTGTTCTATCAGTGTGGCACCTCTCTGTACTTTCATGACAGCCATTATAAGAAATGTTCTCTAGAATCTGGACCCTTGTAAAGTAGCAGGCAACCACACTAACTTGGAAAGTTCAAATATGTTGGGGTTTTTTTTGGTTTTTTTTTTTGAGAAATGGTAACCAATGTAACTCCAAATTAAGGAACAAATGGTTAAAGTAACCACAGATGTTACAAGTTTCTAAATGATAAATTTGGTCATAATTGTTTTCAATTTATGATTACTAGTCCAAAATCTCTTTCATAATATGGGGTATATACATATATATGTACACATATATCTGTGTACATATCATCTGTATATATTTATATATTCATATATATGACTATAGGATTATCTATTATATATATATATATATGTAGTTGGATTTATGAGGTCATATCATGGAAAGTCTTTATATATGTGAAAAGTGACAACCTACTTAAGAACTTCAATTTTCTTCTCCATTTTCCAAGGTTTGCATTTGACAGTAGCAATCATTTGTTTGTTCTCATCTAACAGGGCCTTCAATCTTTCCAATTCCTCTTCATCAATTTCTTCTTCTTCCTCCCTTTAAAAGAAAACAAAACAACAAGACAAAAACATAAGATTAAGTTTTGCTTCTTTCTCAAGCCTAAGAAAGTCTCCTGTCAGATTCTTGAGCCCTTTTTTCAAGCATGGCTACATAAAACCAGTGAGAAGTTCCCTAAGCACATTTGCTCATGATGCATACTTCCTGAGATTACTATAACTTTCAACAATGGTATTTGCATTCTAATGACTTAAAACTAAACTGTTCTTTCATGTTCTAGCCTCAAGCTGTCAGAATTAGAAAATCTACAAAAAGAATAGCTATAGAGCTATCAAAATATTTCCTTCTCTGTTGCCTTGGGCATCTTCCCTCCTCAATTCTATGTTTAATTTAAGAACCTTATTTTTCAATAAGGATAATAAATTAAACGTGAAGACATCTTTGAAGTGGCCTCAGAAATTTCAATTAGCCCTGTCTCTAGTGAAAAGGCAGAATATTGAAATAGGGAAAAATAAGAATCTGTTTCTTAAAGGAAACCTAATCTGTTAATCACACCCAAAATGTCATTTGATAGAATTCAACCTGAAATATTTCTGGTGGAAATAAATCCTTTGATGATACCCTCAAAGGAATTTTACTTCTCAGCAAATGAAACACTATCTTTTCTGTGTTCCTACCATTACAAAGGTAGAACTCAAAAAAAAAAAAAATCCAAATGTGCAACGTGGTTTAATATAATATTATAGAAATCAGGCTATTGTCTCAATTTCTGACACACCCTTTCATACTTAACACTGTGGCATTGAGACTGGAAAACTGTAAGTCACATTTTTATGAGTTGGGTCAATTTTGTATTGAAACCCAAGAGGTTCCTAAGAAGTACCTCCATGTTTTCCTATGGCTTTCTATTAGCTCCCTGACTTCTTTGTTTGCCTGCTGAGCTGCTGATCTTCCTCCTTAGTAATTTTACTGAATGTATTAGGATAGGGAATTAAGAATTAAGAATTGTATTGAATGGGATAGAATTAAGAAACTAAGAATCAAAAAAGAACTCTAGCAAAAGTATATAAACATATCTGAAGTGTGCACATTAAAGATAAGAGCATCACTTAGTAGCCCTAAAATGTAACCTAGCAACCTGAGTGTAACTGTGTGATTAGCCAAATGAGGTAAGAAACTGATAAACATATGTTGGCCAAGTCATGCATAAGGTCTATAAAAACCCAGAGGAAAATCAGTTCGTGGGCGCACATATGAGCTGAACTCCCATCAGCTGTGCGGCCCCATCTTCTGACTGATCCTGTCTCTGGACCCTGAGAAAAAAGAGGAACTTCACGGCGCAAACATGACCCTCGACCGCGAGACAACCAAGCTGAGCCGAGACTACCGTCACCACATCCAACTGAGATGATGTCACTCGGGCATTGGCCTTAGGACTGGTACTCTTATCAATCGTTGTGTTATGTGCGAAATTTGTTTATGATTCCCCAAATAAATGCATTGAAAGGCACTGGCTCTAGAAATATTTATCCTCCCTCGCATATCTAGGTGATGCTCAACTAAGTCTTAATAACTCCACTCGCGACAGTAATGTTACTCCAGAAGCTAAAGGGCCTTCCCATAGCTGGAGGTGAGTCTAGTCTACCGTTTCTACCGGCACTAGCCAAACCAGCTTCATTATATCCCCACCAGAACCCGCACCTCAGCACACCAGTCCCTCCTGGTTTCAGCTCCTGGGTTTCTCCTCTAAGACTTTCAAGGTTTCATTTTAATCCTTCACAGTGTTCCTCTGGTCCTCGAGTGGTAGCTGCTTTCTATAGCTGCTACCAAATATTTTAGTTTTCTATTTTCCTTTTTCTCAAAGGCATAGTTAATGACTATTTTATTTATAACCCATAGCAACTCTCTTATTAAATTCTGTGTTCAATTATCTGTTGACATCTCTTTCTTCACTAGACACAGAAAGAAAAGGAAATTGTAAATAGTATTATTGGAAAACACATTTTGTTGTTCACCAAGTTTATTATTGGACATAATAAGAATATGGGGGAAAACTATTTTTAAATGCTTAATCATAATGTAGGAAGGCATATTTGTCCAGCTAGAAAATGACTCTGCAATGTCCTTTATTTGTTATCAATCTGTTGTTTTTAATCATGCCTTGATTACTCAAATGAAAACACATATCTAAAATAACACTTTCTATTGGTAGTTTATATTTTGAACAGTTTAATATTTTGCTTAGAATAGCAATCCTGGTTCAAGAAAACTGGATAAGGACACACTAAAATGTAAGTTGCCAATGGATTGTTTCTTTTTAATTATTTAGTATTTATTATACAAAATCTTCTGGTGCTATATAGCCATAGATTAAATATTTAGGGATTTTTTTGTTTACTAAATCTATGCTCATAGTTGTCTGTTTACTTTTTACATTGCCAATTGACAAAAATATACAATTTGAGTGTGTATTAGAAAAGTAAGACATATTTTAATAAAAATAATTAAAATTGTTTCCATGTAGATATAACTATAAAGAAATTGTAAAACATGTCCATTTTGAAAATAAAACTAGGAACAGAAACTAGACACAAAAAAACTATCAAGAATGGAGCAAACCAGCTGTAAAACTCTTTAAGACTAATAACTTATTTGATATTTTAAGCCTTCAATGGGCCACCCTTTCAAAAAAATCCATACTTGTATATAAGTACCATGAAGCACTCTTTTACTGAGTTCCACTGTGTTTCACACATAAGACAGTATCAAGGACAAAATAATGAACTAATTAATGTATGGATGATAGCTTACACATTTACATGCCAAATTTCAAAAACCATTTAACAGAGTATGAAGTCCCTACTTCATATGCAACCTCTTTTTTCATTATCCTATGAGAATGGCTTTTACTTCCCTGAGCCTCCAAACAGTTTGCTTTTTTTTTTTTCCCTCTGGTACATATATATTATCAAATTTCATAAAAATTTGTGGCTAAGTGACCACCCCCTTCCTACATTATGAATTTGTGGTATTTAATAAATTTTATTGAAGAAAAGATTATGTATAGAAGTTTCCTGGATGACACTGGGTTATCCTGAGTTCAAAATTGAATCAAAATCTACTAGAATCTAACAATGCTCTGTATAATTGCTAAGATGTCAAAGATGTGCACTCCTCCACAGAATGACCCCAGACTGGTATATGTTTAAAGACTTTGTTGTCAATTGCTGTTCACTCACAGAAGGATCCTGCTGTGTCCCAGAGCACAGTGGTTGAAGAATAAGCTACCTTCAGACATGAAAGTTGTTAAAACACTACTCTCACCAGCATTACAGGGAAACTGCTTTTCTAGGACCACTCAAAGAAAGAGCTAATCATGTTAAAAAGATACAGCATGCACATGTTTCATTTTCTGAAATTTAGAACTGATCTGTGCAAGAAAGACTTTCTGTCTTAAGTGCTATGAATATTTCATTTCCTTATTTAAAAGTAGGTCAGGAAAAGCATGTAATATTATTAGAAATATTCTGCAATGTCTAACAAGGCAGTATTTTTTAACCAAAGATAGTATTACAACCTTAGATTTACTTGGTTCCAAATGTTCTGTGAGGGTGAGGGAAATCCCCCAAGGCTTTGTTTGAGCATTTAAACAAAAAAGACCCTGAACTAATACACTTAAGCAAATGTGTGCTCATTTCTCTACTGCTTTCCTTCAAAATACATCTCTTAATCATATTTTCCTGTTTAACAAAAGATTCTTATCTTCAAAAAAACAACCAAAAATAGACCCTAAATTATTGATCAGGACTTTTAACCATCGTAAATAATTGCTGATACTATTTAGAATAAATATACCAATTCTGGGTGTGATAATTTAATTTGAAAAATCTATGGAGACAAATATTTGTTCTGTAAGGGTTTGGGGGATAGGAAGTGACATTCAGGTGCTTGTAGACATCTCAGAATTAAAATGGAACTGACTATGCTATGACCCAATTGACAGCATGGCCCTGTTTCCTAGAGGCTGAGTGGGCCAGGCAGGTGGAAGAATTCCTGCTCAACTTACATTTTGAGAAGGATTTTTCTCAAACATAAAGGAAGAGAAAGAGAAAAATTCTAGTATGGAATTTATAGTAAATATGTGTCTATTGGTGACATTTTTCTCAATGAAAAGAAAATATAAATAAAAATATCATAGTTAAACAGAAAGCAAGTGATGTCTTGGTAATCAAGAAGAATGATGAAGCTTGAGGAGAAAAAACGGAAATAAGAGTAGAGGAAGGGAAATTCAAAACCTTAAAACATTAAGAAATCAAATTGCTTTTATTCCTTGGAAGCACTCTCTATCAGTCTTAAGCTTCCCTACCTGACAAATTTCTATCTGGTTTCACTTAATAATTATTATTTCTAGGAAGTAATATAATAGAACTGTTGATGGAAGGTGCCATCTCAGGAGGACATGGGAGAAAGTCCCTCATTATAGAGTTAGAGGAGTATTTCAATCCCTTTACTTTGTGGTGATTCATGTAGCCCTATTACGTTCAGAGGCAACAGGTTGGCTGTTTACCCCGAATCCTTTCTGGGGATCTAGGTTTTCAGTTATTAACAGATACTTTTCCTTTCTCCCTGACATCTAAAAATTTCCAGAATTCCAGGAAATAATTTTCTTAGATCCTTTAAAAAAAATTAAATAAATTATTCTATACGAAGTCAGCAATAAAGTTTTGGAATTAAAAAATCCTGGATTTCATTTTTAAAAAGTATAATCCCAACGTTCTATAACAGAAGCTAGAACACTTTAATTCTATAAAAGGTCCTAACTGTTAACATTTCAGGTTTTGAATGCTACACGCAACTCTGTCTTATATTGTTGTTCTTTAAATGAGGCTATAAAACTGTAAAAAGTATTCAAAATTCTTGGGCTAGACTTAGACATAGTTTACCAAGCACTTCTCCATAAGTAAAGTGATTTGGACTCGCTCTTTAGGAGTGAGATATAAACAGTTTACACAACTGATGATGGGGTAATATTCAAATATTTAAATCAAGCAAAACATTTTAATGACCAATAACAATTTAAGACTTTAATAGAATTTCTCATAGTCCATTCTTAGTCTATATTCATCTTAAAACTATATTTTAAGTATTAAATATATTTAATTAAGTGGAGTAAAATGACAGGATCAGATTAAGCCTATCGTACCAAAAATGATTTTAATGACTGATTTTAAGACCAACTAGTCCTTACAAAGAGCAGTTTTTCAGGGTCAGGTGCTTTTGATTCAGTAATGCTTCCAGTTATGGATGAAGACTAACTTACACTCCTCTCCTCAGCCTCCTTCTCCTTTCTTTTTGTCTTGCCTTTCTTGTTTCTTCATCCTCTGGCTCAGGTTCTGGGTCCTCCTCTCTGATGACATCTCTGGTCCGCTTCCTCTTTGGTCTCAAGCTCTCTCTTCTAGGTAATTTATCCTCCTCTTCTTCACCTAAGCATAGCAGTTGATGATTCAGTAAGCAACATCGTTTCTTCTCACTCATACGTTTATTCTTGCTTATTAAGTAATATTTTTATTATTTTATTTCATGTGTATGAGCATATTGCCTACATTTATGTAAGTGTACCCACGTCCTTCAATGCCAGCAAAGATCAGAAAAGGGTGTCAGATCCCCTGGAACTGACGTTACGAATGGTTGTTAACCACCATGTGGGTGCTAGGAACCAACCCAGGTCCTCTGCAAGAGCCTGTGCTTTTAACATAGCTCCAAACCTATTCTTGCTTTTTAGTAATTGCATCTCACTTCTGGGACTGCAATCACCCATTCCCACAGTATAACACCAAGCACCATTTTACACACACACACACACACACACACACACACACACGCACATCATTGTCTATAACTTAAATAAATGTACCTAAATTTTATTTGACTCTGTGAATTCCTAAATGTTATTAATCCTTATGGTTCCAATCTTCATTTATTCAGATAAGTCAATGACTTGGAGTTTGACAACATATCATGACTTCTAAAACCATTCAAATCAGGTTCAAATTCAGAGATTACCAATCTAACAAGTAATGGTAGAATTATAAACGACTGTACTTATTGCTATGTCACCTAGAACAGAGAGCAAGAAACACCGGACCTAGAAAGCAGCTTGCATAACTTATGAGTTCTTCTGTTTACAAAGTACTTTCACAAGGCCGGCTCTCCCATTGGCCTGGCCACAGCAGTGTCAGGACTGGGACACCAAGGCATGCTCAGGGGACAGGCAGTAGGTTTGCTGGTGCTAAGTTTTTGAAAATACCTTGACACCACTGGTGGGACACAGTGGGTAAGAAAAGTGGACAGTGGGCACGAACTCACATCCCAGGGTTTGTGGTACTGGAGGCAATTATGACACTAGTGGCACATGGTAGCCTTGGCATCTGCACTGCTCACCAGGGAGGGAGTGGAGCCTGGCTCTGGTCCCCACGAGAGAGGCTGGCCCTTGCAGTAGGGGCACTTGCCAGCACTGACTGTGCATGGCTTACACAGGACACAGTGCTGGTGGCAAGGCCATAGGACAGTACCATGAGCCTGCTCCCGGCAGGCCACAAACTGCTTGGCACGGAGTTGGACGATTTCCACATCCACGGCCTCCAGATCCAGGAACAGTTGGCTCTGCAAGGAATGCAGCTTAGGGAGAGGGATATAGCTGGTGTCACCCAAGCTCCACAGCCCCAGCAGTGAGGACAAGCCTAGGCCCTCAAGTTCTTCCTGCAGCCACTGGGCCTCCACCTCCTTCTTCTGCAGGGCCAGCTGTTGGTTACCGTCTGTCACATGAGCTTGCTTCTTAGCCTCCTGGCCTCTCTCTGCCAGGCATCACAGGCCTGCTTCACTTGTTACCAAGACTTCCTGATCTTCCTCTTGGCCTCATCTAACTGCCACTTGACCAGTGCCAGCTTGGCACAGTTTGGACTTATTTTCAAGGAAGCCAAGGGGCTGGAGTTCAGAATGGGGGATGGGGTAGGAGAGACACTGCCAGAGACAAAGTCCCAAATGCTTCTAAGGACAACGTTCAAACCAAACTGCTCTAAGAGGAAGCTGCAAAGCCCAGCATAGGGGCTACAACCAGAGGGGTGGTGGCTGCTTGGGAGAAGGGGGGGCATCATTACCTAGAAAACTAGGGATTGGGAGAGCGAGCTGAGTGGGGAAGTGGACAGAACAAGGTAGAGTGCAGGGATGGAGAGTGTGGAGAGTGAGAGGGGCACGGAGCCCAGGATCGCAGCAGGTGCTGAGCCTCCAGAGACCTGGGGCCTGTCAGGCCAAGGTCCTGCAGATCTGCTCTTCCCGATCTTTATCTAAGAAGGTGATATTTATGTCACTAAGAAGAAACTCTAAGGCAACACCTAGGACCACCTCCACAGGGTTGCTAGCAGGGCCCAGCGGAGGAGCTCGAGCAGGGACGGTAAGCAGAGCAGTGGACTCCAGAGGAGCTACCTGAGGGAGTGGTTGAGGCCAGGCTGGATACCACACTGGACCTTACGCTGGGAGCCAGTGGGCGAGAACACAGTGAGGTGGTTTCTCTCAGTGACCAGTAAAGCAAAAAATGGGGACAATTGACATTATCTGATAGACAATAGATAAAAAAAAGTCACATGATATCAAATAAGTGCCCAGTAAAGTGGAGGACGGTGTACAGGAGAAAAAAATACAACAAAAAATTAAGGCTGGAGCTCCCACAGCTGCCAGATAAGGGAAGGTGAACTGCAAGGTCACCATGTAGTCAAGAATCCAAACCATATGAAAACCAGTTTTACAAAAAGATCTTTGCATACTTGGGTGTGGTCTTCCAAATAACACAGGACATTAACCTCCAGAGGGAGAGTGATTCTTCCCACTTTAAATTATCCACTTTGTTTTACTATTTTACTACTCACTTTGGGAATCTGCCTGTGTTGCCCAGGCTGGCTTCAAGCTCCTAGGTTCAATCAATTGTCCTGCTTTAGTCTCCCAAGTACCTGAGGCTATTGGAACCATACCTAGCCCATCTTCATTTTTGACTCCAAGTAATCCTTTCTAATTTCCTGAAATATGTATTGTTCCATCCTTTAAAAAATTGATAGTTCATATATTTACTTGGTTCACTGGTAAATTCTACAAACATTTAAAGAATTAATGATAATCCTTATGAAACACTTCAAAGTTGAAGAAGAGCAAACTCTTCTAAACTCATTACATGGGGTCAGCACTACAGCCATATCACAGACAAAGACACTGTAAGAAAAGGAAACTTTGGTTCCGGTATTTATGAATATAGATGCAGAAAATCACAATGAAATCCTAGAAAATCAAATTCACCAACAGAGCAAAACAATTGTATACTATGGCCACTAGAATTTATCACTGGGATATAAGGATGGTTAAAGAAAGAGACACCAGAGGAAGACACCAGAAGGTGGAAGGATCGCCCATGCTCATGGATTGGAAGAATTAATATTGTGAAAATGACCATCCTACCAAAAGCCATTTATAGATTCAATGTAATGCCAATCAAAATCTCCATGACATTCTTCACAGAATTAGAAAAAAAATCCCAAAATTCATGTGGAAGCACAAAAGACTCTGGATAGCCAAAGCAACCCTGAGTACAAAGAGCAACACTAACGGGATTACTATACCAGATTTAAAGCTCTATTACGGAGCTACAGTAATAAAAACAGCATGTTACTGGCATAAAAATAGACACAGATCATTGGAACATAATTGAAGACCCAAACATGAGTACATGCAATTTCAGTCACCTGATATTTGACAAAGAGGCCAAGAACATTCATTGGAGGAAAGACAGACTCTTCAGCAAATGGTGCTGGCAAAACTGGATCTCCACCTGTAGAAGAATGAAACTAAACCCCTATCTTTCACCTTGCACAAAAGTCAACTCCAAGTGGATCAAAGACCTCAGTGTGAAGCCTGAAACTCTGAAACTGTTAGAAGAAAACATTGGCAAACACCTACAAGATATAGGTGTAGGAAAGGACTTTCTAAACCAGATATCAATTGCTCAGGAATTAAGGTCAAGAATCAATAAGCAGGACCTCATTAAACTAAAAACCTTCTGTATAGCAAAAGAAACAACCAAGGAAGTGAAGAGAAAACCCACAGAGTAGGAAAAAAAATCTCCAGCAGTGACACATCTGACAGAGGTTTAACATCCAGAATATACAAAAACCTCAAAAAACAGAGGATCAAGAAAACAAGTGGCCCAATTAAAAGATGAGCTAAGGATCTGAATAGTGAGTTCTGAAAAGAAGGAATAAGGACTACGAAACATCTTTAAAAGTGTTCGACATCGTTAGTAATTAGGGACATGAAAATTCAAACCACTTTAAGATTTCATCTTACCCCAGTCAGACTGGCTAAGATCAAGAGAACACATGATACCAAATGCTGAGGAGGATGTGGGGAAAGGGAAACACTCATCCACTGCTGGTGGGATTGCAAACTCATGCAATCTCTGTGGAAAGCAGTGTGGAGAACTCTTAAAAGCTGAAAATGAACCTACCATTTGACCCGGTTGTACCACTCCTTGGCATGCACCCAAAAGATTCATCCTATTGCAGAGACACTTGTACAACCATGTTTGTTGCTGCTCTTCTCACAATAGCTAAGAGTTGGAAGCAACCTCAGTGTTCCTCAACTGATGAGTGGATAATGAAAATGTGGTACATTTACACAATGGACTTCTACTCAACAATAAAGAAATATAAAATCATGAAATTTGCAGGTAAACAGATGGAACTAGAAACTGTTATACTAAGTGAAGTAACACAGACTCAAAAAAACAAATGACATATGTTCTCCCTCATATCTGGATCCTAGCACCAAATCCTTATATGTGAGTATGTATCCAGATGTAACTGCAGGAACCAGGATAATGGAAAGGAACCAGGGAGGTAAAGGGAAGAAGGAACCTGAGTGAGGAACAGTAAGAGAAAGGTGTTACTAAGGGAGAAATTGATAAAATGAGGGTATTTAAATGGAGGGGGAGGGAGAGTTATACAAGGAACTTTGAGGATAAAGGGAAAGAAGTAGCTCGAGAGGTGGGACCATAGGAGACTGGTATTATCAGAGGAGAAATGGAGAAAATGGGGATACTTTAAATGGAGAAGACATGGAGGAAGGGTTAGACGGGGAGAGAAAGAGGAGAGAGGTAAATAATGCCTGGCTAGTGTAAATAACCAGAGGAAATCATACTCATCCGACAGTCTAATGACAAATCACATATACAATATTTCCACATGAGTCCATGTGTGTAGCCAAAGGCCACATAACAAGAAACAATGCCAAACAGGAGAAACCTTCCTTTGAGTTGCTGGCCAGGGTAGTCCAAGAGACTCCCATAATTACACAGGCTATCGCCACAGCCCTTGGTCACCTCCCAGGACTTGAAGGTAAGATCCTATTGCTGAAGACAGAACAAACTTCAAACAGAATTTGGAGTGATGGAGCTGGAACTGTCTTGGAAGCCACTTCTGAGGGCTAGCTCTCCT